CCCCCCCATTTGCCAGGAGCATTCCCGGCCCCCCAGGCGGGATTTGCCCCCGGAGGAGAAGGAAGCGGTGCCTCGGGAACGCCGTTGACAGCACTTTGCTTCAATTGACAGCAGCTTCTGGGGGGACGGGGGAGGCAGAGGAGGAAGAGCAGATACTCGGTGGCCTGGGCGCTCCGGGGGGTTTTCCTGCCCCGCCATCCCGTGTCAGTTGTAGGACAGGTACTGGATGAGCCGGGGGGGAATGTCGAGCTTGGAGATCTTCTGCAGGGCCCCCTGTCCGGCCGCTTTCCTCACCGTCACCCGGCACAGCTGGCACAGGCTCAGCGGCGTCTCTGCAACCACACACGGGACGGGACGGGGGGCTGATGGGATGGAGGGAGAGGATTCCCGCACGGCAACACCTGCAATCGTCCCCGGGGCGGGGACAAGGATGGATCCACCTCCCATGGCCAACGGGGCACTGCAGGGGCTGCTCATCCCCAAGGAGATCCCACTGGGAATGAGCTTTTCCCAGCGCCCCTTCCTGGCCTGGGTGGAATTATTAGAGCCAGGGAATTCTTTAGGAGTTATTCAGGTTAACTGTTTAGGCTGGGAAAAGGCCTCCAAGACCACCGAGTCCAACTGAACCTGCACTGTCAAGGCCACCAGTGCCCCATGTCCCCAAGTGCCACATCCACAGGGACCCACCAGCCTCCAGGGTCTGCACCCATCCTGGACCTCATCCCGAATGTAAGGATCAAAGAGGGAACTCTGGAAGATCTTGGGAGTATTTACAGGTGTAAAGCCAGACAATAATTTACTATTCTCCTATAGGAATTTTTCCTTCTATGAGGAGGAATTTTCATCCCTGGGACGGTAGGGAGGCCCTGGCACAGGTTTCCCAGAGAAGCTGTGGCTGCCCCTGGATCCCTGGGAGTGTCCAAGGCTGGGTTGGAGAAGCCTGGGATAATGGGAGGTGTCTCTGCCCATGGGGTTGGAACTGGATGATCGTTTAGTTCCCTTCCCACCCCAAATCTGTGTTCCTGTGACTCTGATTCCCAGGACTGTCCCCCCCTCACTTACTCTCGTAGTACTCGAAGCACTTGGCTGTGGGGCTGCTGCTCCAGGTGTAATCCGAGGGTTTCTTGCCCCGGTTGTCCCTGGCGTAGATGTTCCCTCCGAACTCCACCAGCATCTCCACCAGGTCCACGTTCTTCACCTTGGCCGCGTGGTGAAGGGCCGTCTCGTGCAGCTTGGCAGCGTTCACGTTGGCCCCTGGGGACAGAGAGGATCCCCAACCCGTCCAGGAAACCCTCCCTCAGCCCAAACACTGGCAGTGCTGGGACTGGGGGGAACAAAGTGCTGGTAAAAAACACACACAAGGAGCTGGAAAAGATCCAAAAAAAAAAAAAACCCAGCACGACCAGGAAATTGCTGAGCGAGTTCTCAGTGCTGGAAAATCACAAGTTATCCTCTCTGGGTTTCTGTGTTCCTTGGAGAGAGGGGGTTTCAGTCCCTGGGATTTGGGGAAATAAGGCCATAGCTGCTTCCTGAATCCAAAGAGCCACTCCCAGTCATCTCCATGGAACATTCCCAGTCGAGACAATGAGAACTTGGTTGGTTGTTTCAACAGGAACATCCCAGATCCAGGAGATGTTCCAGCCCCCCCATCAAGTTTTAGTTACGGATATTTTTGCTGAGGAAGTTTGTTTTTTATCAGTTTACAGCAAGAAGTCCTTCTCCACCCCCCAAAACAGCTGGAGTTTGATCAGCAGAGGTGAGGGAGACCTCACTGAGCTCAGACGATTCCCTTTAGGGAATGTGTGGCCACACTGGACTTTGTGGGAATTCATGAGGAGAAACTGGAATTTCTTGGGAATCAATCCATAGGGAACTGGAGTGGCTGGAAGCAAACTTGGCTTAGGTGTGTAACTTTTAGATAATTATTATTCAATTAAATAAATCCCCTCCCCTGGGCCAAATCTCCTCCTGGAAGCACAGGGAAAGACTGGAAGTTCAACCCAAATTCAAGCCCCCCAGAACGAGAAGAAAACTGGGATGTGAAACCTGGAGCCAAATGTTGGAATTGACCATTCACCAAAGTCACCTAGGCTGTGTGTTTTGAACGAGCTCTGAGTTCTGGTCACAGTTTAGGGATTGGGAATCAGGGAATCACGGGATGGTTTCGCTCGGAACGGACCTTAAAGGTCACCCAGTTGCAACCCCAACACCTTCCACTAGCCCAGCTTGCTCCAAGCCCCCTCCAACCTGGGTTTGGATGCTTCCAGAGATGCAGCATCCAGCTGGGAGTATCTCAAGCTGGATGGAATTTCTGGAACTTCTGGACTAAACGTTTGAACAGCAAGTTTTGCTCCACGAAGGCCAAACCTTCCGCCGTTACCGTCTCTATCCCGGCAGGAATTCTGCTGAGGAGCTGCTTCCCACGGACACCCCCGCGCCCTGCCCACCCACAGCGAGCCCGGGGCTGCCATACCTGCCTTGAGCAGCAGCTTGGCACAGTCCAGGTGCTCCCTGGCACAGGCCACGTGCAGGGGAGTCCCAAAGTGACAGTCGTGAGCCTCCAGGTTGGCGCCGACGTCGATGAGCAGCTGGACGCACTCGGGGCTGCCTTGGGGAAGGGAAGGGCCCGGTCAAAAGCCAAGAATCCAGCTCAGACGGGATGTTGGGATGGGCCTGGACACTGGGATGGGCATGTTTGGTGCTTGGCTGTGTGAACTGGGAAGGCTGTGGAGCCAACACAACAAGAGCAGGACACAAGAAACGGAGAGGCCGGGCTGGAGCCAACCGGGAATCAGGTCAGACCACCCCAATTCCAAGGATTTGCACTAAATCACCTGCTGTTTCTGGAGCTGCTGGTCCTGCCCTGGGTGGGTTTGATCACCTTCAAGGCTTAAGAAAAAGCAGGGAATTCTCACCAAGCCTTGGGAAAAAGTTTAACGAGGAAACACTCCACAATTGTGGATTGAACAGCCATCTGATTGTCCAAAATGCTCCAGAACTGAAGGAAAACTCTGTCCAGGACAGCAGATCACAAAAATAGTAGAGGGAAGGAGAGAGGGGGATTAAATCTTACAGAGGGGAAACTGAGGCACAAAGTGGTGAATGAGGGAGAGATTTGGTCACAATTATCCAACAGGGAAATTGCTGCTCCCACATCCAGGTTTTTCTGCTGCTCTGCCTGTGCAGGTGGAAGTTTGAGGGATAAATTACATTTGAATTTGTAAAAGTAAATAGCAAACTCTTGCCTGGGAGTGTGGGGAGGGGCTGGAATGGGTTTCCCAGAGAAGCTGTGGCTGCCCCTGGATCCCTGGGAGTGTCCAAGGCCAGGCTGGAGCAGCCTGGGATAGTGGGAGAGGTCCCTGCCTGTGGCAGGGGGTGGGACTGGATGGGATTTAAGGTTCTTTCCAGCCCAAACCATTCTGGAATTCCATGATTCTATGACTACATCCTCCTCTGATCCAAGTATCCCAAAAGGATTAAGCAGAGGATGAAGGAAGCAGAGAGCAGCTGGGTTTATCCCAAACATCTTTTTGGCCTCTGCTGTTTTCCCTTGTCCCTGGACAGCCCCTCCAGCTGGAAAAGCCTGGGATAGGGACAAGGAGCAGCACAGGCAGCAGCAGCATTCCCAACAATCCCTGGCCCTTCCTTCCCACCCAACAAACAGGTTGGGAACGAGAACAACTCGCGGTCAAATTCAAAGTCCTCCAATCCCTGGGATTTACCATTCATGCAGGCTTCGTGGAGAGGGGAGGCCGTGTACAGGGGGGGGTTCACCTTGGCCCCATGGGACAGCAGCACCTTGACACACTCAATGCTCCCCGAGGCGCAGGCGTCACACAGCGGGGTGCTGCCATCGATGTTCCTGGCATCCACCTGCGGGGAATCACGGCATGGTGGGAAGGGATGGCATGGCATGGCATGGCATGGCATGGCATGGCATGGGTGGGAAAAGTGTTCCCAAGGAGACCAAGCAAAGCAGCACTGGCCAAGGTCGCCACTGAATCATGTCCCCACCTGCCACAGCCACAGGGCTTGGAAATCCCTCCTGGGGTGAGCACTCCAGCCTGTTCTAACTCCTAACCACCCTTTCCATGGAGAAATTCCCCCTCCTGTCCAACCTGCCCCTCCCCTGGCACAGCCTGAGGCCGTTTCCCCTTGTCCTGTCCCTGTTCCCTGGGAGCAGAGCCCGACCCCCCCCGGCTCCCCCCTCCTGGCAGGGACTTGCAGAGCCAGAAGGTCCCCCCTGAGCCTCCTTTTCTCCAGGATGAGCCCCCCCAGCTCCCTCAGGAGTTCTCCACACCCTTCCCAGCTCCCTTCCCTTCCCTGCACACACTCCAGCCCCTCCATGACCCAGCTCAGCTCACGCAGCCTCCTGGACAAGCTCCCTCCAGAGCCTCCAGCCGATTTTGGCTGCAGAGCCTCATCCCAGATGGGGGGTGTTGGGGGGAGGGTGTTATTCCAACATCCCCCAAAACAAGGTGAAGCTCCCAGCTCCCAGGGCCCCACCTGTGCCCCCGCATCCAGCAGCAGTTTGACACACTGGGTCTGCCCCCTGAGGCTGGCCTCGTGCAGGGGGGTGATGGAGTCGTAGGTGACGGCGTTGACGCAGGCCCCGCTCTCGATGAGCTGCTGCAGCTGCAGGATCTCCCCCCTCCGGGCAGCCTCGTGCACCGGGGTCCTGTCGGCCCAGAAGCCTGGAGAGGAAGGGGTAGAAGTGGATGGGGAAAGGAACAGAGCCAGAGGCACAGAGGAAATGTGGGGACCCCACACATCAGGGGGGAACTGCCAGCTGGGAGGCTTGGGGAGGTCCTGGCAAGGGTCACCCCGAGATTCTGCAGCTGCCCCTGGATCCCTGGAAGTGTCCCAGGCCAGGCTGGAGCAGCCTGGGAGAGTGGAACGTGTCCCTGCCCACGGCAGGGGAGTGGAATTAGATGATCTTCAATACCCCTTTGAATCCAAACCATTCCATGATTCCACAGAGCTCTGGAAGTGGCAGCCTCTGAGCAGCATTATTTTGTCACCAGAGCACTGGGAAGAACAAGCTCCAGCAGAATTCCATTAAGGGCTTTTTATAGCCTCCAAAACCACCCCCCATCCTACAAACTGCAGGCTCCTCGAATTTCTCCTCTCCTACTGCCAAATTCCTTGTGTGGAGGGAGGCTCAGGTGAGGGATAACACATCCCCAGGGATGGGCTCCCACAGGGTTATGGAGCAGGAGGGAGGCTGCAGATGGGGCCAGAATTTTTAAATCTGGGGTCAGAATTCCTAAATCTGCGGTTCAAGGCTTCTGGCTCAGCTGGGAAGCAGGGATGGCTCCTGATGCCATCCAGGAGCATCCAGGGAGCATCCCTGCCACGGGAATCAGCTGCAGCACAGGGATCAGCCCTCTGGAGGGGACCTGGAGGCAGCTGCTGGCACAGGCAGGAGTTTGGGATTTTTCCCTCCAAGGTTGGAGCCATCTCCTCTCCCCCCCAGCTCTCCAACACGGATCACACACATTCATTTATGGAGGAACGGGGATGATTCCCCCTGTCCAGCTCTCCCAGGAGTTCATCCCCTCATCCCTTGTCTTGGGAGAGGCCACTTGCTTCCCAAATGGTCCTGCTCACCCTAGAACTGTCCTGCAACCCCCAAAACCATCCTGCAAACCCCAAAACTCTCCTGTCACCCCCAAAACTGCCCTGTCACCTCCCAAACCTTCCTGCAACCCCCCAAACCCACCCTGAACCCCCCTAAACCGTCCTGCAACCCCCAAAACCATCCTGTGGCTCCCAATCCATCCTGCAACCCCTAAAACTGTCCCACACCCCCTCAAAACCACCCTGTCACTCCCAATCCCAGCCTGTCATTCCCAATCCATCCTGACCTCCCCAAAAGTCACTCTGCAATCCCGAAACCCACCCTGTCAACCCTGTCACCTCCAAAACCACCCTGTCACCCCCAACACCATCCCGCTCTCCCCAAAACCGTCCTGCAACTCCCTAAACCACCCTGTCACCTCC